TAGTTTGGGTATTAGGCTCCCCAGTCTGTTGGCGTAGATCTTAGCAAGGATTTTCAGGTCTGTATTAAGTAACGATATAGGGCGCAAGTTTTGACATTTATTGGGTGGCTTCCCGGGTTTAGGCAAAGTCGTAATATGGGCCAGCAGCATTTCCTGCGGTATGTCTCCCGTGTATAAAATGTGGTTATATAGCTTTTCTAGGTGTGGAGTTAACAGTTTGGAGAAAGTTTTGTAGTATAGGTTTGTAAACCCATCTGGGCCTGGGGATTTCCCCTTAGGGAGTGTTTTGATTATTGTTGCTATCTCTTGTTGGGAGACCGGCTCCATCAGCATGGATTGGTCCGCTTGTGTGAGTCGTGGCAGCTTCGCCCTCTCTATAAAGCTGTCTATCTCTGTCTGTAGGGGCTGGTGTGTATGTTTGTCATCCTGCAGGTTATATAGCGCAGTGTAGTAGTCTGCTAACATGTCATTAATTGTTTGAGGGTTATAAATTTTGGTGCCCAGTGCATCTATGAGATATGGGATTTTAGCGTCGTGTCGTTTTTGTCGTAACAGCCTAGCTAGAGTTTTCCCCGCTCTGTTGCCCTGGGTATAGGTCGTCATCTTTAGCTTATGCGCTATGGAGGCTGTAGCCTTTACGTGGATACCGTTTAGTTTTCCTCTTATGTCGTCTATAGTGTGTTGTGTGGTGGGAGTTGGGGTCAAAATCTGTGCTCTTGTTTCGTCTCTTAGGGATTGCAGTAAGGAAATATATTCCTGTTTTGCCTGTTTATTGAGATGGGAGGCTTGGCTGATCAGGATGCCTCGGATGACCGCCTTATGTGTTTGCCACAGTGTAGCCGCTGATATGTCAGGAGTATCGTTTAGGAGGAAAAAAGAGGTTATTTCGTCCATGAGTTTAGTTTTCACATCTTGATTAAAGAGGAGCCGGTCACCCAGCCGCCATGGTGTCTGTCCCCGTGTCGCGAATCTGTCTGTTAATGTCAGTGTTACTGGGCCATGGTCAGACCATACAATATCTCCGATTTCACTGTGGTGCGCTCTTTGTAGGAGATCCTCGGATACGAATATGTAATCTATCCTGGTGTATGTTTTATGTACAGGGGAGTAATACGTGAATTCCCTATCCTTCGGGTGGTGTAGTCGCCAGGCATCGTGTAAATTGTGTTCAGAGAGCAGCTTCGTAAGGGGTGCTGATTGCTTCCCTAGGAGTTTATACCTAGGTGAAGATTCTGATAATGTGGTGTCTAAGCCTGTCTGTAACGTATGGTTCAGATCACCACATATTATTGTGGGGGTTTGATAGACAACTGGGAGTTTGGACAGGACTTTTTGCAGAAATGATCTTTGGTTCTCGTTGGGGCTATATATTCCCACTAAATTATACAACTCGTTATTAAGCCTGCACTGTAAAATAAGGTATCGGCCCTGTGCATCTTTTTTAATGTGCAGAAGCTCAAATGAGATTGAAGCGTGGATAAGGAAGGATACCCCCCTCGATTTAGACGTATACGTCGAATGGTGCTGCGTGGGGTAGTCTCTGGTGGCAAAGTTAGGTACTTTGTTATGTACAAAGTGTGTCTCCTGTATACATAGGATGTCGGCTTTCAACTTTTTTGCCTCCGTTATCAGAAGTCTCCGTTTATGCGGGGTATTCAGTCCCCGGGCATTAATGGAGTATAATCTCATATATTAATAGGATTGTATAGGAGTCTGCTCTTGCGCCCAGCTGTGTACAAAGGTGTTTTCCTGGTGTATGATGGGTTCGCACCCCTGAGCTTTTGTGTTTCTGGGTGTTAAGTCTGTTACTTGCCTTGCATAGAGGCAGCAGCAGCAATGACTTACGGCGTGTTTGGACTGGTTTTCGGGGCAATGTGACCGGCTTAGGGATTGGTGTGGTCTTGGGAAAGTAAAGGGGGTAGGTTGAAAAAACTATGTACAAAGCGTCTCTTAGAGACTTTATGTGGGCTTGCCACATCTGGGGGAGTATAGGAAGTAGTCCTTCCGTTATCGTGGCTTAGGGCACTGCATACCATTTAATTTACAGGTGGACCCAGCACTACCTTCTGGGCTGTGTATGAGTAAAAGTTATTTTAAGTCGGTGAAGTAGGTTTGTCCAGGCCCTATCTTCCGTCCCGACCTTCCCACTAGTTCGCGCCTTACGGCCCTTATCAGCCTCGCAGGCTTGCTTTGTCTAGTTGCATTGTCGGTTAGTTGTGTGGAAGGTCTATCCGTTTCTAACCTTTTGTGTAGAAGTGTTTGTGTAAGCTTTTCTATCGCTAAGTCAGTTTGAGTCACTTAAAAAACATCCCAACAGAAGAATGTAACATAACATAGGAACGTAAACCAAATAACCTGTTATCCCTCCCAGCTCACCCGGCAACATCATGCACATCCTCCCGCTCCCGAGTATGGATCCCGACCAGCTGTCCCCGGGCCAGGCAGCCCCTTTTAGTGTCCATCCGCAGTTCATTTTCTGTGGGATCCTAAATCATAGCAATCAATGGTGGCGATGAGGTCAAGCACGAGCACTAAGTCCGCGACCTCACCGCCCTGGTCGGGCCTGGACCCCCCACGGCACTCCCTGCTCTGCTCGCGCCTCGTCACAGGGGCAGCGGGAGACCGGGGCCCAGGTCCCAGTCACGAACCAGGAGGTTCTGTCCATGCGCTTTTCGGGGTGGCTGAAGCGATGCCACCCAGCAGGAGGGAGGGAGCAGACCGAGTTACCGCAATGAAACTATCCTCTGTCAGTTAGTGGAAATGTATCATGTCAATTGCTTGCCAGTATCGTGCTGGCGTTAACGTTTCTCTCGTGCTGTATTCCAGTCTGATTTCAGCGTTTTCGTTTTCATTGACGGCATAGGCGTTTGTGCCTTTTCAAGTTGGAGATTCCATTCTCGGATATGTTTTAACCCATCTTCTTGGGTACTCATTGTTGTAGTGACCCCATCTTTGGTCGCGATCAATTTGGTGGGGTAGCCCCATTTATATCTGATGCCATGTTTCCTCACGGTGGCCGTTACCTGTTGAAATTCTTTTCTCCGTTTTAGTGTCACAGCAGATAGATCCGCAAAGATCTTGATAGTGGAGTAGTCTGCTGGCGGTGTGGTTCGTAATCTGCTACCTCGGAGGATATGTTCCTTTACATGGAAATAATGAGCGCGTAGTACCACATCCCTAGGCGTTGCCTGTGGAAGGTGGCGTGGTTTGGGGATACGGTGGACACGATCAACCAGCAACATGTCCGCCGGTATTTCAGGGGCATGTGCATTCAGGAGGCTTCGTACATAAGCCGGTAGGTCCGCGTTGGTGAGGGTCTCTGGTACTCCCCTCAGTCTCAAATTATTTCGGCGGGAACGGTCCTCCAGATCTGCCAATTTCTCCTCCAGAGCTCCAATTTTTGTCGCCATACTTTCCACATTTGTGGCTAGGTCATTATGGGCTGTGGTGAATTCGTCGTACCTATCTTCCATGTGTGACGTCCGTCTTCCGAGTTCTTGGATGTCCTTTCTCATGGAGTCCGCCGTATGCTGCCACGTAGAGATTAGCTTAGTCGAGAGGGCCTCTAATGCTAGCGTGAGGTCCGCTTTGGTGAGCTGGGGGGATTCCCCTGGAGGCGATGGGTCGTTTTTATCCGTGCCGCCATCTGTCTCCAAGTTCCCGTCCGGGGATGAGGCCTGCGCCGCCATGGTCGCAAGTCCCTGTTTCTGACCAAAGAAGGCGAGTTTGTCCTGTTTCGCCAGACCCTTCTTGTTTCTCTGTTGAGACATATCTGTTTCACTGGGTCGGATGGGCTGTGGGTGGTCGGGATTGCTTGAGATTTTGTGCCGCTTCGCCGGAGCAAGGTTTCACGCGTCCATCTTGCTCCCTGGCTAGCCACCGTCCCAATGTCTATTGATAGTGTTTCGAACTTTATGTGCTTTTGTATGATACGTGATTGGTAGGAACATACTGTTAGTTAACTTCTGATCCAGTTTTTTTAGGGTCAGACACTTCATTAAAGCGGCGGAATGCTTTCTCCTTCGCCTGACTTAAAATCCACGGATGGTATCCCCTCTCCACAAACCGGTTCCACATTTGTAAAAGTTGTGTTTCTCTGGTGTTGATGTCACTATTATATCTCAAAACTCTAAAATTGAGATATAGGAAGAGAGTCTAAGTTTCTGAGGGTTGAAGCTAATGGCTTGCAACAATGTGTTCCGGTCAGTACTTTTTCTATATAGTTTATTGCCAATAGAGTTGTCTTCCCTGAATAGCGTAACATCCAGATATTCTATGGTTTCCTTATGCCAAGTAGACATCAGTATGGCCGGTGTGAGTAATGAATTAATGTCCTCAAGAGCGGCCTTCAGTTCTCCTTCAGTTCCCTTCCAAATGAGGAAAATATCGTCCATAAATCGTGTATATTTAAGGATCAAATGTTGATATTTGGCTAGTATATGTTCTTGCTCAAAACAGAGCATTGGCATAAGATGGAGCCATTGCCGACCCCATCGCTGTTCCGGATGTTTGAAGGTAGAATGATTCTTCAAATGTGAAATAATTGCATGTGAGGGCAATATTTAAAAACTCCAACAGGTACTCTATAGGTCAGTGATGGCGAACCTTTTTGAGCCCGAGTGCCCAAACCGCAATACATGCCAACTTTTTTTTCCTCTAAGTGCCAACACGGCAATTAAACCTGAATACTGAGGTTTAAGTTTAGAAAAAACAACTTGTTCAGTTGTCCGAACTCATTAACATCTTAACATAACAACAGAGAGTTCAATGATACAAACTTTTTTATTGAAAAAACAAATTCTAGTAAATTAAAACACACTGGTGTTCAGTGGTGCTTTACCTTATTAAGGACCTATTCCCACCTATTCACCCGCAGTTTGCATGCATCTTACTTGCTGCTTTGGCACAGTTTACATCACAATTACATCCGTCTTACATCCAGTTTTGGTGCAGTTTTCTATGTATGTCATTGGACATGCATTTTTTTTTATCAGGTTTCTGTCCATCCAGCTGCAGCAAAACTGCATGTAAACTGTGCCAAAGATGTGTACAAGGGGATACTCAACTTGTAATCTGATTACATGCCAGACTGACATTGTATGACGAACGCCTTACTCTGGGTCTTTTCTCTGCTTCTACAGTTACAGTAAATGTCAACCTGAATGAGGGTGAGCAAGATAAACAAGGAAACTGAACTTGCTTAACACACTTTAAACAACTCCTAAATTAGTGTCTTGGACACAAACACTGCATTAGTAAAAGTTTGCAGTTAGCATTCTTTTGCACAATTAATGTGATTTTTGCTGCTGTATACATGCTGCACATTTGCCAAATCTTGGCTCATACTCCGTTAATTTGAGAGCAACACATGCAGCACTCAATTCATCTGTTAGTCTGTTTCTGGTATCAGATTTGATATAATTCAATGCTGAAAACAGCTGCTCACAAGCATAAGACGACCCAAACAACGAAAGAAGAGCAATCCCAAGTGCTTTCATTGACTTAAAATTATTCGGCAGAGAATTCCACACTTTCAGGATTTCATTTTCAGAACTACCAACTGTGCTGTCTGTTGTCATCCCTTCACATTCTATCTTCTCAAGTGTGGCACGCAGGGCATAGAATTTATTTTTCCAGATAGAGCTTTCTTGAAAATCTAATAGCTCCATTTCCAGATTTTCTAAATCTAACCAGTGTAAGCAGGAAATATCAAGCTCTTCATATTTGGCTTTATCTGGAGAAGTGAGAAAATACAGGGTTTTCTCCATTTTCTGGAATTGCAAGAATCTGTTACTAAAATTCTTAGCAGCTGCTACAATGCTAGAAAGTTCCTTGTGGATTTCCTGATGGCTTGGAGGATTGTCCGTAAATATTGTAGAATTTTCCAAATGTATTTTTAGATTTCGAAAGTATTTCAGCTGCCCACTTTCAATGTCTCTTTCAAAAACTTGCAGCTTTCTCTCAAATGTTCTGATATCACAAAACATCCTTTCTGCTATTTTCCCGACACCTTCCCGACAGATTTTGTTCAGAACATTGAAGTGTGCTGTAAAATCTGTAAAAAACATGAGGTTGGTAAGCCAGGCCGTATCAGTGAGCTGGGGATATTCTTGCCCCTTTTCATTCATAAACAGCCTAATTTCATCCAAACAAGCCACAAATCTCTCCAGGACTCATCCTCTGCTCAGCCATCGGACATTATTGTACATAAGTAAAGTGTTATACTGTGCATGTACCTCATCAAGAAGTGCTTGAAACTGTCGAAAATTAAGAGCACGAGCCATGATGTAATTCACCATTTTAGTGACATCTTTGAGGATATCTTCTAATTTTTTCTGCTGATTACACACACAGTGTCTGCTGATTACACACACAGTGTCTGCTGATTACACACACAGTCTGCTGATTACACACACACACACAGTCTGCTGAGTACACACACAGTCTGTGCGTACTCAGCTGTCTGTGCGTACTCAGCAGTTTGTGCGTACTCAGCAGTCTGTTAAATACACACACAGACTGCTGAATACACTTATACAGTCTGCTCAATACACACAATGCTGGATACACACAGACTGCTGAGTACACACACGCACACACGGTCTGCTGAGTACACACACATACAGCTGAGTACACACACACACAGAGGAGTACACACACACACACAGCTGAGTACACACAATCTGCTAAAACACACACTGGTGAATGCACGCTGCTGAACACACACACACACACACAGACCGCTGAGTACACACATATAGAATGATAAATACACACACACACTGCATTGAGGTGTGCAGTGTATGTGTTTGTGAGTGGGTAGGGGGTGCTGTATGAGAGTGGGGGGGTGCTGTATGAGAGAGAGTGGGGGTGCTGTATGAGAGAGAGTGGAGGGGTGCTGTATGAGAGAGAGTGGGGGGTGCTGTGGGGATGAGTGGGGGTGCTGTATGAGAGTGGGGGGTGCTGTATGAGAGAGTGGGGGGGTGCTGTATGAGAGAGTGGGGGGGTGCTGTGTGTAAAGGAAGAATTATTTTTTTTTCCTATCATAAAACCAAATTATTTTTATTTATCCCCCCCTCCCTTCTTCTTACCTTTGGTGAAGGAGGGGGGGACACAATCGGAGGTGGTTAGTAGCGCTAGCTATGCCTCGGCTCGCCTCTCCTCAGTCCTCCTGCGCAATGCTGTGGGGAGCGTTGCCATGGGAACGCGCGGCAACGCTCCCCATAGCCTGCTTGCGGAAGGATCGTTCTTCTGATCCCTCCCCTTGCCGGCTGCCTCCAAGTCCTCGGAAGCAGTTTGCATTGATGCCGGCGACCTATGGCCGCGTGCCCACAGAAGGGGCACGGCGTACCACCTGTGGCACGCGTGCCATAGGTTTGCCACCACTGCTATAGGTGGACCTTGATAAAGAGTCGAACTACTTAACACTTCCCGGACAGATTGTATCCCTTCTTGATGGGTAATAATCGTGTACAGGCTTTGTACATTTAGTGTGACAAATAGAATTTCATTGTCATCCAGGGTTATAGTCTTCATCTGTTTAAGGAAATCCTGAGTGTCTTTAAGACAGGTAGGTAGCTTTTGTAAGCTTTTGTTAATGTAGAAATCCACATACTTATACATTCTTGTGACGGAACGCTGGCACTCCGACTGAGTACCTCCGCCAATCGATGTGCCTATTGCTCGCTGAGGACTCCAAGCACTCCAACCGACACCATCAGCACTGCAGACCCCACTTCCAGCGATACACCTGCGCCGGGGTCTCGCTGTCTCCACCCACCCTGGATCCACGACCAGGATCCAGCTCCCAGTGGGTGAACCTCTCCTAAAGCCAGAGAGCGTAGCAGGAACAAATCAAGCTATTGCAAGAGTTTACTCTGGGGAGTAAGTGATTATAGCAATCCCCAGAGTGTAGTTTTCCAATCCCCCAAACATGAGCCAAGGCTTAATGCTGGAACAAGACTTTACGGGAAGTAACAACAACATGTATTCAAGCTACAGTTTCTTTTATGCCCTGCTCCCAAGCAGGGGAGGGACACACACGTTATCTACAGTAGCCAATAAAACAGAGGTTATAGCCCACACAAAATCCTCCCCTCTGCCTGTGATTCAATTATCTTATACAATAGAAGACCAATTTTATTACATGACAGGAGGCTTCCTATTTTGCATGACTTTCTTTACTCATGCCTCCATCAGCACAAGTCAATCAATAAACTTTTAACCAATCATAAAAGAGTACATAACCATATATAAAGCTCTGATTGTCGCATGACTTCCTCTTTCTTTGCTGCTTCCAGCCAAGGCACAGGTCAGAGTATTCTGCTCTCACTATTTATTATATGTGCAATTTTTACTGTCTCTTTAATTGATGCTGGCTTACTCCCTCCTTTACTGTCTGTTCCCCTTTAAATACACTTAGTTTTCTGCCGGCTCCCTCAGCTTTTTTATTGTTTGTTTCTCTTGTGGGGTTTACCCAGTCACTGGGACTGCACTTTCCTTTGCCTCTGGTCTGTTTGGTCCCTCGCGATTCGCGGCATTTTACCGCGATCGCGCGAGACCGTGGGGTCTTTCCAGGGGCTCCAAGGGCTGGGGGGGTAACTGGGGAACACAGGGGGGTGCCGGCCAGGACCGTTGGACCGCGATCGCGGGCCGCAAGGCGAAATTTGCGCGGGAACGGCGGCCATCTTAGATATCGCGATCCTCAGCGGCCATCTTAGGTTGCCAGTTCGTGATTCCCACGAACTGGCATAGAGCTTGTAACTGATTTCCCCAAGGTTTTACATACTGTTTTACACTGAAGTCCAAAAGTTAACCCCTTACTCCCTGGCTACAGGGGAGTTACTGCAGGCACATAAACTGAAAATAAAGCATAAAGGAATACTTACCTGATTGGCAGGGCAACTCTCGTGGACTGCTCAGGCTGCTATACTTAATGGCTAGCTCTCACTGAGGGCACTGGTGGTTGACCCACAGGGGTGCATACACTGAAGACAGGATATATAGAAATCTGACACTGCTACTAGTGAGGAGAAAAAAAAAAAAAATTTAAATTTACACAGGGGTGCTCTTCACGCCCACTCAAGGGCTTATAGCAACGTACGCTTTATTGTATGCGGCACCTCCATGGTACAACTGGGGTGATCCACGCAATTCACTGCCTATTGGTAAAAGATCCCACAGTGGCGTAACTTCCACAAATTTCATGCAAAAAAAAAAGCGTACTGAGGTCTTTGACACCTCCCATCACCGGGCTTCGTCCCGACCATTACCGGGCCTCGTCCCAACCATTAACAGGCCTTGTCCCAACCTTAACGACCGTGCACCCCGGTCGATGAGAGGGTGACCCCCTCTACAGACCACTACTCAAACTCCTAGTGGTACTGATTATATGGTACCTGGGTGACCCCCAGTTGTACGTGGAACCCACTGTGTAGCTACATATGCACTGACGTATACCATATCTACCCACAGACGGGAAGAACAAACTGCCACCATGCCAGACGCTCCTCCATCATCGCCCATGGATTTCCAGGCCATGATCAATGCTGCAGTGTCGGCTTCGGTGGAAAAGGCGTTGGCCAAAATGATGGCGCAACCACAGCCGGAGGGGGCAGACGCCGCGCCTCCGACAAGAAAAGAGGATAAAGATCCCACCGAGTCCAAGGCGGAGGCTGGGCCGTGCAAACGACAATGGAAGGGATCCAACACGACCCTGCAGAGATGGGAGGAAAAGGTGTTGCGGAAGCGGAGCCGCCAGTCTAGGCGCCCGGAACGCTCCCCTCCACAGCCCCCTTCCTCAGGGGATGAGGAGCCATTATCTCCACCTTCATTAGAAATCATGGACGAATGGAGGGCAGAGGATTCCCCCTCGGAGGAGGAGGACTGGCAGGACATGCCTCAGGAGGTCGGAGAATGCGACCAAGGCCCCGAACGGGCACACCGCTCAGGCGGCAAAAGCACACGTAAAGTGCATACGGAGGTATATGAAGATGGGGTGTTTCTGGACGGGACAGGTAATCCACGCCAGATACGCCACCCCAGATCGTCAGAATGGAACCTGCCGGACCATCTGACTCAATTTGTAAATTTTTGGCTGAGGAAGCCAATGGACAATGAGGTTCGGGCCAAGCTCAAAGCAGAGTGTCCACGTCCCGTACTCCCGGACAAGATAGCCCTCACCCCAGAGTTTGAGGCCACAGTGGGGGTGTTTATGTCCCGCTCGGGCAGAGACCCACAGAAAGGTGTTGAGAAGGGCATGAAATCGGTCCAGGACAAAATGCTGGACATGCTAGGTCCTTTAGCGAAGATCCTATACTTCACAGATGTGGCCCTCACCCAGGGGACAACCCTCGAGGCACACAACATTAGAATGGGCACAGCGAGCGATCTGCCTACTAGGGAATTCCAATGCCGCCATGTGCGCAGAACGCCGTAAAGCGGCTTTATTGAAGATAGACTCCAAACTGTTGGACCTGGGGAAGAAAGAGCTAGGCCCCCTGGCGGATGGACTGCTCTTTGGAGAACCATTCATGGCAGAACTGAAAAAGCACGTAGGCCTATTCACTACACTGTATAAGGCACAATCATCTATTAGACAAGTCTTTCGGAACCCACAGACAACTCTAGGTGTTTTTGGCAGGGCTGGTCGGCAGAGGGGTCGGGCCACCAGCCGTTTCTGGCCATCCGGCCCCAGTTGCCCATAAGCTATGCAACAGTTCTTCCCATCTGCAAGAGCCAACTTCACAAGGGGATCCTTGCATACAAGGGGCACTCGGAATAGAGGACGGGGACGTTACAACTCAGGTGAGCATGAACTATCTTCCGTTATGTCCTTCAAATATAACTGCTGGCAGACTGTCCCTTGTTCCGCAGGAATGGGAACGAATCTCCACAGACGCATGGATCCTACAGACCGTGCGAGGGTACGAGATAGAATTTACCCGTACGCCAGTTCAGATCAGGCGACCATCACCTATCCGGGCGT